AGGGATGGATGGATGGATGGATGGATGGATGGATGGATGGAGGGATGGATGGATGGATGGATGGATGGATGGATGGATGGATGGATGGATGGATGGATGGATGGAATGGGATTTGAACATCAACCTTCTTGCTGAGAGGCAACAGTTCTACTGATCCACCGTGCCACCCAACATAAGATGATTTTTACTTTAAAACAATGAGTGCATTCTTTCAAAAAGACAATTCATATTAATCAGGTCATAAAGGAAAATATATTTTTAAATATCTTCTGTTAATCTGCCCGGCAACAATATAAAACTCCACAGGCCGTCATGCAGTGAGTGACAGCAGCTCCATCTAACCGGGCTGCTCCGTCCAGAAACAAGTCCATTATTCATGTCTGAGACAGAAAAGCTACATTTCACAAAGTTTGGGGTTTAACGTTCAAGTGTTGATAATGTTTTAAATTATTCAGACCTGAAATGTTACTGGGGGTCTTGGGGTTGGACCATCTTGTGTTGGGATGTCCCTCACACATGCACACACACAAAGTGCACCTAAACTTTGTGTAGCAGAGAATGAGGGAAATGGACAGTGCATCACAGGACGTGTGCACCGAGACGTGAAAAAAGACCACTTGCTCATGGAGTCATAGGTTTCTGTCATCTATTATTTACATTAAAGGAGAGCCGTGGATTGTTGGCAGAAGGATTGTTCTGACAGCGATGGCTGCGCATGTGAAGGCTTTTAAATAAAAGCCCTCATTTCATAGTGCTAACCTCTCAATAAAATCTCAATAGTAGAAGATATCTCAGTGTATGTCTTTTAAATTATTTTCAGCTACTAATAAATCAAATTCTGACTGACTGATTATAGATCATTTGTGTTAGCCAAGATCAATTTGTTGTGGCAGCCATCTTGGATTGGAATGACTAAGTTATTCAGTTGTAGACGTACATCCAATGATTACTCTCTGAAGTGTCATTTAAATCTGTCCAGTGTATCGTGAAGTTTTTTGCTAACAAACAACATGCCAACATTTAATGCTACAGTTTGAAACTAGGAATTTGGTCAAAGAAAAGCCCTTGGAGCGTGTAGAGGACTTCCAGCCACAAACTTGTTAAATCTTGGCTTAATATTTAAAACTGACTGAATTACAGTTACTTTTCTTATCAGTTGGCTGTCGCAGCCATCTGAAATGTTGTTGGCTCTAAAAGATAATCAGTGTTAGAGATACAGTAACCAATTATTTCCTAAAAGTTCCACTAACATCTGTTCAATAGGTTATGAGGTTTTTTGTTGTTGTTTGTTTGTTTTGATAACATCCAGATGTCACTGTCCACATGTAATGGACACATTTTAAAGCAAGACCTTCTCTTAGCACTCAGACTACAACTGCTACTTTGACTACAGGTTTACTTGTGGTTCCTAGAGTTTCCAAAAGCAGAATGGGAGGCAGAACATCAGTTCTCAGGCTCCTCTCTTGTGGAACCAACTTCCAGTTTCTGTCCGTGAGGCTGACACGTTGTCCAGTTTGAAGACTGGGTGTAAGACTTTCCTTTTGATAAATCCTATAGTTGGGGTTGTCTTGGGTTTACTGAGCTATCCCTTAGTTAAGCTGCTATACGTTAAAGCTCCAGTATACTCGTGTGGACCTTTTTCCGCGCGGACTCGACATGCACTGTCCACAGAGGGTTGAGACTTCATACTCGAGCGTCCACCCTGAGCGGCTGCAGAGCAGCTCCGCAGACAAGGGGCGTTTACCTTCGGGACAAATTGAGGTCGCTGATTGGTCATTTGCTGACACGCCTACTGGATTGATTGACAGACAACCCCCCCCCCCAAAAAAAAAAAAAAAAAGAAAGAAAAAAAACAAGAGCTGGCAGCCCCAGCTGCAGCAGTGTTCCTTGTTTATTTGTTGTTAATAAAAAGATCTAAAAATAAAAAGAATTAAAAAAACAGGGAGCGCTGGCCCTGCAGCCCACACATGAGACCAGCCCACCAGGAAATCTCCAGACCCTCCCGCAGCTACGCGGGACCTGAGTTTAATTCGCTCGTGACAAATTCCTTCATTTTTCTCCATTTCAGTCATGGAGTCAGCGGAGGAGGAAGAGATCACTGCCTCTTGGCAAAAGAACAAAAGAAAAGGCCAGATCAGAGATGAAGAAGGGGAATTTAATACATTGGTGTCACATACAAAACAGTCCGTCGCTGGGCAGTTTATTGTGCGACACCGAGTATGCATCCGCGGTCGTCAAAATTGAGCTTTGCGCGGACATGCCCTGCGGGCGAGTGCTTCGACTCTAATCCAGTACGCGCGGACCTCCGCGGACTGAGGTACGCCTGAGTATACTGGAGCCTTTAGGCTGCTGGAGGACAAACTGACCTCATTTCCTCTTTCTGCTGATGGCTTTACTGTCTCTACTCTTCCTGTTTGTATTTGTAATAATTTATATAATAACATGTTTTATTGTCTTTCCTCATATAGAAAGTACATCTAGACGTGTCATTCTGTGTTTGTCTGTCTCTCCTTCCTGTCCTCTCAAACCAGCTGGTCGAAGCAGATGGCCGCTTGTCCTGAGACTGGTTCTGCTGGAGGTTTCATCCTGTTAAACGGGAGTTTTTCCTTTCCACTGTCTCCTTTGTGCTTGCTCAGGATGGGAGACTGTGATGAAGGGAAGATCCTGCTGCTTCTTTAGATAGAGAACTTTTACTGATTGTTTTTTTTACGTACTGTATGTGAATGTTTCTGTTCAGTGACCGGAGATGACTTCTGTTGAGCGCTATTTAAATAAATTGAATTGAATTGTTTCTGCACCAAATTTTATGTTAGTAAAACTGTCTAAAATTGACTACTGGTGAGTTGTAGCCATTTTGGGGTTTTGAAAGGTCAGTTAGCAGGGGCAGCCATCTTGAATCATGATGACTCTAATGATTCCTCTCGGATGGTTTCAGTTCAATTTGTCCAGCCGTTCACAAGATGATTTGGTAACAAGCAGACTGGCACTCATATACACGCTCAGGCAAAATACATAATTGTCTGCCTTCATCTTTCAGCAGCAACCACAAAAAGGGAAATATGACAAGGATTGTAAATTCTCAAAAATTTTGATTGCCACAATTTTAGTTGACCCTAAACCTATAGTACAGTTTAGTAACAGTGAATGTTCAGACACAAACCCATTCAAATGAGAAAAACCTGCAGTCCTATGTCTGAAAACATGCTGGCAGAAAAAATCCATTAGTCTGCAATTAAGAGATTGATATAGATTTCAACATGGTTGATTCTGCCTCAGCAGGCAAATGTGAAACGTCAACGAAACAAAAGCAGCCGCTGGCCCTCCACCCAAAAGCAGAGACATTAGCACAAGTCCATTGAGTTTGCTAAATGTCCCACATAAAGTGAATCTCCCCCCAGGGTTGAGGAACAATCACGCAGAAGAGCGTTCCATTTAAGTGATTTGAATGATCGGGTGCTGCAGTGCATCCTGTCAGCCAGAGAAATGGGTCGATACAGTGACTAAGTGACATGGCTGACAGCCTGAGCTCCTGTGGAAGATCCTGCAGAAGAAAAGCAGCACGACCTCACCAAGCCCAGCCGTAGGTCTTTAACAGCCACAATATAAACATAATCAGCACAGTTATGTCAAAGAGTATTTCTCATAAATAAAAAAACAACAGCTACATGTCTGTATTTATTGGCTGATGTATTTTAGTCTAACAGCACATTTCACAACCACAATTATTAAACCATCAATCAACACAACCTCAGTTCTGACAAAGTTCAGGCACTGCCTAGAATATTATTTTATTCACAACTCCACACAGTAATTTTATCATCATTATCAAATGTTTAAATTAAAAGGTTAGACCATTTTCAGAAATAAATAAGGTGTTTTTAACCTTAGCAAAATATCTACAAAGGTGCAGCCTCAGCCCGTCCTGAAACAGGTTTCAGGACGGGCTGAGCATTTATTTTGAAGTTTCTGGTAAGTTAAAAAGAATACAGATTATTAAAAATAT